CGCCACGAGAACAGGGCCACCCCCCCCCCCCCCCGGTGACCTCTCCCTCTGCCTGGCTGAACCAATGGCTGACCTGGAACAAGTCAGTGTGAAGAATTCCTGATGTCACGCTGTTTTCTCTTCGTTTTGGATGGATTGGGGCTCCATCAGAGACACTTCCTGTCCCGGTGACAACATTCACTTCTCTCCCTGTAGAAGATGTTTCTCCCGTCTGGTAAAAACGTGGTCCCCGGGACAGGAAGTGAGTTTGAATCTCTCTAATTGAGCCGCGGATGGCAGTAAAATGCCGACGCCGGTTCCCCAATCCGTCCAAAACAATAAAAAACCTTTTTTTTAGCTGGACATACCCTTTAAATCTTTCCCTTGCCGCATGCTTGTCCCTGCCCCATGACTGGGGTATCAGAACCAGACGGGTAAGTAAGACTTTCAGGGGGAGGCGAGGCAGCGGGCGAATTGATGGTGAACCTGAGAAGAAAAAGTCATCACTTTTCCTTAAAGTAACCGGCGACGGGAAAATACGGCTCATTGTCACTGCCGGGCGTGTATAGAACATTCACACAGATGAATTGTCCGCTACATTCGTGCTGTGCGAGGTAACCAGATGGGGTGAGGACGAGGAATCGAATGTTCTCCGTGTCATTTCCCTTCTGGTCGAATGTTCTTCAATATTTACATTCATAGAGAAGAGTGAACGGGGACAATACCTCATGGCGGCCACTAGGTGGCGCCGAGGAGCGCAGGAAATCCATGTCAGTGAAGAGATACAATGTTACAATTGAGGAGACGGCCGGAGGGAATGAACATGTAAATGTCACTACTGGGGTGACGATAGTGACATTTATATGAGGGATGTACTGGTACTGCCGAGTACTCACCCCCGAATGCTCCGATGCCTAGCCCAATACTTCCGGTACCAGGAAGCCGGCTCCATGCTCTCTCATCACTTGTGACGAGGGAGCATGGGGGCGGCTTTCCGGGCCAATCAGGAAGACGCGCTGCCCGGTTTCCTGATCAGTTTGAAGCTGGCCAATCGGGAAGCCAGGCGGCGTGTAAAGACTCGCCACCCGGGTTCCCGATTAGCAGGGAAGCCGCCCCCCATGCTCACTCGTCACTAGGTGACGAGGGAGCATGGAGCCGGCTTCCCCCGGCCAATCAGGAAGCCGGGCAGCGTGTAATGACACAGGGACTGGCTTCCTGATTGGCCAGAAAGCCGGCTCCATGCTCCCTCGTCACCCGCTATATGCTGAGCTTTGGGTCACGGCCCGGGAGGAGGCTAGTATATGCCCTCCCGTGACCCTAAAGAGAACTATGGGGAAAAACACTTACCCCATAGTTCCCTTTTAAAAGCAAAAGGAGGTTCAACAAAATACTGGCACAAGGGGGGGTGATACTTTTTCCAACTCAGTGATTCCAACATATGTTGGTGTTATATCTTTCAGTTGGATGTTATAAGTTGCACTGAGTAAATACAGCTGGATAAAACAAAAACAGTGTCTGTCTTCATTTCAGGCTGCACAGCAGCAAAATGTGATTATTTTAAAGGGGAGCAATTCTTTTCTATACCCCCTGTACAGCTCCCTCGTCACCTAGTGACGAGGGAGCATGGGGGGCGGCTTCCCTGCTAATCGGGAACCCGGGTGGCGAGTCTTTACACGCCGCCTGGCTTCCTTCCGGTATTCGGTATCGGCGAGTACCGAAAAAAAAGATATCGGTAGTCCATACCGATATACCGGTAGCGGTGCATCCCTAATTTCTATGTTCAGTCCCTCCGGCCGTCTCCTGAATTGTAACATTGTATCTCTTCACTGACATGGATTTATTTCCTGCGCTACTCGGCGCCACCTAGTGGCCGCAATGAGCTATTGTCCCCGTTCACTCTTCTCTATGAATGTAAATATTGAAGAACATTCGACCAGAAGGGAAATGACACGGAGAACATTCGATTCCTCGTCCTCACCACATCTGGTTACCTCGCACAGCACGAATGTCTCTGCCGCGTCACCGTCCTTACAAATCGATCTCTGTGAAATAATTCGCATTCCAAAGATTGACAAACGTCTGAAATCGAACTCTCGAGTCGTTAATGAGAATCATTTCTGTCCCATTATTCCATCACTTGGCTACAATATCATCTACAAAATGGTGGAACTAAACGCAAACTGCCACGTGAGATCTGTCGGCGTGTGCCGGGATTTATCTGTCACCTCCTGCACCTCTCTGATTGGTCGGATGCTGGAAAACGGAGCGGTGATTGGCCCTGAAGGCACCAAGTAAAGTAAGACGGAGCCGGGAGAGATATGAAAAGCAGAACCGTCATTGTTTCCTATCAGATGCCGTGACTGCTGGATGCGGAGCCGTCGCCCATAGTAACCGATCAGCTTCTCTCCTCCATTTGTTTAGTTATGTTTTGCTGATTGGTTGCCGCGGGCGACGGCTCCAGATTGCTCTAATGTTAACACATTCCCCTCATTGTGCGCACTAGACAACCAATCAATACGTTCACTTATCTGATCACAAGATTGGAGGAGACCCTCGGAGTGCGGACTCAGCACAGAGAAGTATTGATCAGCTATTGATTGATCGGTAAGGTGTGGCTGCGGCTCGGAGGTGACCGGAGAACGTCCATGTATCATGTGACCGCGGAGGATTCAGTGTTGTGATTATTTTGTATTCATTTGATGGAATATTTTATCTTGGTTCCTATTGGCGCCATGAAAGTCCGATTCTAGTTGATGAAATGTATTGATTATGGTGGTTACATTGTATCTTCCCCAGGAATACGGATCAGCACCACGCAGATTATTGATCACGCGAGCGCGTCCCCCAAAGTAAGGACCACGCGCGAGCGCGTCCCCCAAAGTAAGGACCACGCGCGAGCGCGTCCCCCAAAGTAAGGAAGAGCGCCGCCCCAATGTAAGGACCACGCGCGCGAGCGCCGCCCCCAATGTAAGGAACACGCGCGCGAGCGCCGCCCCCAATGTAAGGATCACACGCATGACACAATGTAACGATCACACGCATGACACAATGTAACGATCACACGCATGACACATTGTAACGATCACACTCAATGATACAAGTGTTTGTTTGTCGTGTAGCGCTGATTTTGCGCACGTGGAAATCACGGGGAGCGATGGGTGAACGCGGTCTCATGTCTGTGGTCGCCCGGCCGCGTCTCATGGAGGTGATGTCAGAGCCTGCGGAGGATCCGTCTGGTAGTCTCGCCTCTCCCCGGATAATGTATCCCCCCCTCCCCCTCCTCCGGGCCCTGTAATGGCTCTGTATTATTCAGTGTGAGCAGGAAGAGCCGGCAGTGATAAAAGCTCTCTGTGTCCCCCGGGGGGCCCCTTCATGTGTCCGTCTTCTCCCCTCCGCCAGGCTGCCAATCAGAGCGGGGACCAGGAGCTGGAAAACCTCGTCCTCAAACTCTCCATCCTGAAGGATTTCCTCAGCAGCATCGAGAA